TGGTGGTGGTGGTGGGAACCCCGATGAACAGAAACAGATGTAGTGAATCTTTGTCGCAGGAAAAACGGATCTGGTGAAATCCTTGTTGTTGGAAAAACGGATCGGGTACCCCGACTAACAAAACCCTTGACACGATCTCTAGAATAACATCCAGAAAAGATCTTCATACAACATTATTTCATATGTGTCTCTTGGAGCCAAGATCTGCAAACGATTTCTTGCATTAAACTCCAGATTCAAGACATTGGTTAGAGTTAGAGGTTTCGAAAGGGAGATGAAAATGGTCTGACTTACAGGTTTCGAACTGGAGATGAAAACGGTAAGAGCTTCTAAAGGCTTTGAAGATATTTTCAGTGGCGAAACTTGAAGAAAGAGAGAGAGGTGGAGCAACAGTGGCCAGTGGTTTCCAGCGGAGCTGTGGTGGTCGGCATTTTTGACAGACAGTGACGAAGCTTGAACAAATTATTTAGGGGGGTCGAAACTAAAACTATAGTTCTTAAAAAAAATAGCATGGGCCAAAGCCTAAATTTTATATTTTCATGTCTAATATATAGATATAGTAAAACTAGCTATAAGCAAAAAAAACAGGGGGGAGGGGGCACAGCCCCCCAACCCTTAATATCCTCCGCCCATATTGACAACGAGAAAGACATCCCGATGGTGATGTTGTTTACTGATGGTCGTTGTCTGATCGATGGAGAGGAATAAGGGATGAGTAATAGGGAAACGAAGTTAAGGAAAGGGAAGAGAAAAGGATAGGTTGGGGTGTAGGTTTCTATTTTGTTTTTCATTTTTTTTCAATTTAAAAATGATAAGTAAATAAAATACAATTGGAAAATGAATTCTTAAGGGCAAAGTAGTCATTTTATGCATGTAGGGACGAACCGTGTGAAAAAACAATTATATAGGGACAGTCTGAGTTGATTTTTAAAAATAGGGACTAAACAAGTTTTTTGGCATGTGCATGATGGATGATTGGTGTAATTTACCCTAAAATATATCATTATAACCGAGTATTGTGGTTTTTTCCGATTTCCGTCATCTTTTCTAGCAAGCATGAGTTTTTCATCCATATTCTCTAGATAAACATGAATTTTGGATGAAGTTCTTTTTATGGAAGAATAAACCTAAGAATACCTTGAAAACACACAAATAATCTTAAGTCAACTCCATTTATAAAATCGTTTGTGCATCGCGAGTCTAATAAATTGAAACCCATATCAGGTTCCAAGTTTTTAAGAGATTTTCGAGTTTTGAAATTCAAAGGTTTCATTGGTTTTACAAGTTCAGTTGTGCTCATTGTGTGGGTAGATCCATATACACATACTGAATTGAAAAATCGGAGTTGCATTTGAAACATAAATTAGAAAAAAAAAACCCATAACTTGAATATGAACAAACGAAAAACAAACTCAAGTATGGAAAACAAAGCGAAAACTTGTTCTTGTGTGGCATCCCAATTTTTACATCAATTTTAAATCTTTTTGTTTATGATTTATTTAAATCAGAGTTTATTTATAATTGCGGAATTTAGTCCCGTAAAAGTATTTCCAAAGAATTTTTTTTCATTAATTTATAAAATCCTAGAATGTTATAACTGATACAAAACATAAGCATAAACAAACATTACAGTATCTTAGACTAGTAGTCTACATCTCCTTGAATCTCTCATCATGCATGTAACTTTATACAACTAGTGGTGATACAAAGAAGTTGGGTGGGTCGAGTTGGAAAACTTAGTGAGTAGATAGAGTTTTCAACCCATAATAATATAGTTAA